CTTTGTTCTACCAATGGCTATTAATTGGAAGTAGTTTGATCCTTCAGGTCTTGCTTCTAACCATTATTAGGATCAGAAAGAGGTTTATTCTTGACCTAATTTTCTCCCACCACTGAGTCAGAACTCTTCTGGGTACTCTACGTGATGCCCCTTGGCTAATGAGGACTTCCCTTCTGGCCGTTGGGAACTGCAACTGTTTCCAGCATTGGGTATTACTCCTTCTAATCCTTCTGGCAAATTCTCACTCTAGCCTTGGGTGCTTTTCTTACATTCTTACACTGATTGTACTCAGCTGAAAACTTGAGGGAGACACTCTGTAGATATCCAAACTCTTTCTCTCTTTATGTGGCTTTACCCACTTGGGCCTCTCTGCCTTGGAAACTCTTGGTCTGTCCAGATTCTTAGTACTATCTCCTCGACTCAGTGGGTTTTGCCCGTGTTTCTTCTTTGTACTGTCATGGCCTGATAGTCGTTTTAGGCAATGGTAGGGCTCACATCCTTTGTTTCCCATCTTTCTGTCCTTTGCTTCCTGATGTTCAATGTTTTGAACAGCGTTATTTCACATACTTTGTCTATTTTCTGGTTGTTCAGATAGGAGGGTAAATCCAGTTTCCGTTACTCCATCTTATATTGAAACGCATGTCTCTTCTACACTATCCTAAATTTTTAGATGAGTAAAGAGTAGGTGAGAGAGCTTAAATAACTTGCCAAGGGCACAGCACACAGGCAGGAAGTGACATAGCTGGACTTGAACATAAATTTTTCAGACCCCTCCCCCCCAAGATAATGCTCTTAATCACAAGGCTGTAAAGTTTTTTTATATAATATGAATTGGTATGTTTGACAATTGATGCATTTATTAGTAGATGTTAATCTAAGAAACACTGGCAAATTTTTGAATGGAAATTGCTTCCCCTTTCTCCCTTTTAAAGATAAATGCAAGGAACGTGAAGAACAAATAAATCGAGTTTCATCTGCAAATGAAATTGATGTTCGTGCCTGTCCTCTTAACCCAGATGAAAACAAAGGCATTATAATTTGGTATAAAAATGACAGCAAGACACCTGTATCTACAGCACAAGATTCCAGGATTCATCAATACAAAAGCAAACTTTGGTTTGTTCCTGCTAAGGTAGAGGATTCAGGACATTACTATTGTGCAGTAAGGTAAGAAAGGAATTAATATGTCACAAACATGTCTTCTAGGTACCTGCAGAAGTTAAGGATAGAAAATTCTTTTAATAATGCTTAATTTTCCTGTTTTGCTTCATTTTAGAAATTCATCTGACTGCCTCAAAATTAAAATAACTGCAAAATTTGTGGAGAACGACCCTAACTTGTGTTATAATGCAGAAGCTGTATTTACACAGAAACTACCCCTTGGAGGAGACGGAGGACTTGTGTGCCCTTTTTTGGAATTTTTTAAAGATGAAAATAATGAGTTGCCCAAAATACAGTGGTATAAGGTAATTTTATTT